GCAACTAATAAACAATAGAAATTATTTGCCTTTAAAATGAATCAGAATTCTTAAGAGAGAATTCCTCAGAATTCTTTGAAAATACAGGACATATTTTTCCGAGGAATCTGGAGTGCGGGATATTTCAGCATCTGACAATAATTGTTAGGATGACAGGACACAGGTTCAAAATATAGAACTGTCATGTACAATATGGGATGTCTGGTTACTTATCTTTTAGTAACATATCCATCACTTTCTGTTACAATTTCTTCTTTAGTTTGCACTCTTCTTTTTTCTTGAATATTTTTCAATTTTCCAAACTATTCTCTCATTATCTACTAATAAATAGCAGTAACTACAAAAATGACAACCAAGAAAAAGCAGGTAGCATTTTTTACATGTGTGACTAAATATTTCTCTTCTTCCTCTGAAATTATGAAATCTATCACAGATTTTTTTTCTTCTAATTTCATCTATATCTTATTTTAAATTTTTTTTTTTAGACCAGCTATTTTCTATTAAACTCCCCATTACTTTTAAATAACTTCAGATTGACCTAGCATTTCAGATTCTAAAACATCCTCAGGACCAGCATTTCTCAAACTGTGGGTCATGACCCAATATTAGATTACATTAAAATTTTAATGGGTCATGAAATGATACTATCTTTTGCAGAAATACTTGTCATACTTGTATTACTAAAATATTTTCTAACAACTAGACACAAGAGATGCATCTGTTAAGTACTGAAAATTTTTTAACAACTTTTTTCTTATAATTATAATTGTCATTTAGTAATAAACTTGTAATATTAAAAGATTGCAGAATATGTGTATATAAAATTGATTTCTCTTTTCTATTTTGAATAACATCGATGTAGAAAATTCTTGGGAATTCCATAATCCTGTGTCTGCAGGTGGAACTCTACTGGTAATTCAATGACCCAAAACTATGGTTTGGATCATTGAATTACTGTTAGTGTTCTTATACACCTGCAGGATTATGGAATTCCTACAAATTTTCTAATTGGAATATAGCTGGTATCCCAACAAGAAAGGAAATATTCAAATCAATATAGATATTTTATGTACACATAAGATCATAATCATAAACCATTTAAGTTACAATGATTTTGAAAATATTTCCTTATTTATTCAAACTTTTGCATTTATTGTAATACATAACAATTAATTATAAAAATTAATAACAGATGAATTTGGCACAAATGGGCCAATAAATAATTTTTAAAGAATTTACAAAAAATCATCTTACAATCGGAAAAGTATTTTAAAAAAAGATTCATTAAGTTTATAAAGAAAACTTGTAATATTTTTCAAAGTAAAATAGACTCCTGAATAATTTTGAAATAGTCTGTTTTATTTACAATTGCCATTTTTGGGCTGCAATTTGAAAAAATTGTAGGCCTATAATTCCCACTGTTGTCTGTCCGTCCTTCCTTAATTTTGAGAATGGAGCTAGATGAAAATCAAGACCAGATATAGAAAGATCAGGGACAGGAAGCCCCAATTAACTATATACAAACATTGTGCAAACCAAAAGTCACATTATTTCAATTCAAAAATTTTTTCCTGAAAGGAGTTAGACAGGTGACGGGCATGACTTGGTTGCTAACAAGAAAAGTATGATGTACAGGGGCAAGACACTACTAATTTGAGGTGGAAAACACATTTTTAATTAAATAAATTAAAAATATGATTAAAAAATTACAGTCCAGTATTGTGATGATGTCACAATAAAATAGTTGCTCGTTAATAGTTAAATTTAAATAATAATAACTGAAATTGAAGTAAGTTATTTGTTACAAATCAAAATTAGTCTGAACTGCTTTTAATAGAAATATACTTCTTAATGTTACATTTCACACACAAGTTATTATCAAAAATGCATAATTTTATTTCATTATATAATATAAAGTACTCTAGTTTACAAGGCTTTTAAAAATTTTATATTAAAAACATTTGGGTCACAGAACCATTACAAACATATTGGGTTGCATGAGCAAAAAGTTTGAGAAATGCTGCATAAGAGTAATACTCAACTTGGAAGAGACAGGAAGTCTATTACAATTTGAGTTTCTGTACCTAGATGATCCTTATTCAATTCCAACTTTTCTCAGACCTCTATTTTATTTCTATAAACTCCTACATTTCAATCCTCCTCTACTAAATTTATGATCTCTTTCATTTAAAACATTTGCCAATTTGGTAGAAGAATAAATTGTTATAGTTTGCAGAATTGTAGTTCAAATCCTATTTTTACATGTTTGAAATTGTTAAATCAGTTAATCATTTTATTAGATGTCCCTAACTGTCTGCACTTGTCATAGTCTCTTATCATCAATCCGTAATATTTTTCCTGCTTGATCCAAAGAAAAACAAGTATTACTGGTTTGTTAATTCTATTTCAGCTTTGCTATAATTCCATTTGATAGTATTTAATTTGTGCTTCATCATCTATACATTTCAATCTCTCACTTATCTTTTATTTTCAGGATGCAGTTGGAGTTATAAACATGTGATGAATAATTCTATTCAATAAAATCCTACTTATAAGCTAAAAGTAAAAAATCAGATAAAATGTTATTTTTTAATTGTAACTAAGAGTGTGGAAACCTCTAACTTCAGTTCTTAAGTCTGATTCTGACTTGTTCATAAAAAGTTAATTTGAATTAATAATGGTAAACCTGCAATATAAGACATTTCATCACTATCTTTCGAATTATATTTGTCTTAAAAGTAGCCTGATTTGGTGTAAGAGTAGGTGTAATGTAGCTATATTTTCCATAACTTCTATCCTTTATTATAATGTCATTAAATGCAGAAACTAATGAAAATTCAAATTAATAATATTAAGAGAAATTACAATCTAAGAATGAAAGACTATCACATGATACAGAAGTGTTATGATCTTATGTTTGAGTTGGAGATGCCAACTCCAACCAAACTTTCTTATAACTCAGATTTGACATTCTTAGCTAATTATAACATTGTGAATGCAGTTATTGCAGTCTGTCAGCAGATATTGACTTTTAAAATATGATGACATTTGTTTCATTAAACAAATCTTATTCCATTATTAAAATAGTAGTAATACTCATATTCAGAATTTAATATAATAGTCATTTGAGGTCATTCATCAGTTTAATCATCAATTAAATTTTCTTAAATGTATAATTAATGTCATTTTTAAGTAATTTAAAAAAAAGAGTTTAAATACTTAATTTTCTTGTTCTTTCTCTTGATTTTTATTCTCTGTAATAAAGTTTTTGATCATTTACATATTTTATAAATGGACAAAGTAATGAGTTAGCATATGTTTAGACTTTTAAAAATCAAATAAAGCCATGAATATGATTAAAGTTTATGCTTCTCCTTCTGTTTTGATCATGTAAATTTAATTGAAACACTTCATTGTGATTTAAAAACCAAATGAAAACAGAAGACTTTAAGTTGCATTTGAAATGTCCAGATGATAGAACATTTGAAGATTTCAGTTTAAATTAAACACAATGGTTTCTATCTCTACATTAATTTACTTGTTTATCAATGCTCTGAATATCTTTAAGTCATTCTTGGAGGAAGAACTTCCTTGGAAAAATCCAAGTATAAACTACATGGAAAAAAACACATATTTTTATTTTAATTTCTGTAAATATTATCTGTTCGGAATTATTTTGAATTTTTAAAATTACTTTTAATGATGAACAGTAAATATAATTTTAAAAAAGCTTAGAACTTCTACATTACAAAGCATAATATTTTTGTAATAAGATTGTCATCATGATAATTACTAGTTTTTTTGTTTATTAAATATTATTAGAAATGACTTGAATTATAAGATGATTTACATATTTACCATAAATTATTTTGCTCTTCTCAATCTGGACAGAATTACAAGAGAGCACTTAAAATTTTTACAACAGTTAGCCTTACGCAGCAAGTGGTCAAGGGTTGCACATAGTACACGTTCACTTATATTCAACCCTAGATATGGCTTCTAAAGACGGAGTAAATATGCCAGTAAAATTAAATGTAAATGCTAATCCACATTTAATGTGTACTCAGTTTGTTTCTCTTAGTCCATGGTATTTTAAAAATGGGAGATATATAAGTTAGAGGGTCAAGGATGTAGTTTTGAGTTATTACATGACCTGACATAACAATATGGAAAGGCTTTGGTAGCAAGCATGCCAGAAAATTTATGGTTGACCTGTATTAAAATTTGATTGATTATACTAAAACATTTATTTGGGATAACAAATTACAGTATGTGCAGAGAAAAAAGATAACATAAAATTTTAATTAACTTCAAATTAAAAAATTAAATTAATTTTCAAAAAAAAAATAATACTAGAATATATATAGTGTTACACCAGTTAGCATATCTTTTCACTCTCTAAAATTTTATGCACATAACACAGAATATGATTTGCAGAGATCAAATTCGTTATGTAACTGAAAATCACTACATCATCTTTTGCACTGTGAAACTAGGTCATAATATATTGTGTAACATTTTATTAGTTTTGAGTTAATTAATTTACATTTAAATGCAGTAATTGCATTATACTATGTATTGTTTTGCAAACAGTAAATGCAAAGTGTATGAGGTATTAAAAAACAAACATGACTTTCTCCATTATCCAAAATTTTGTTTATCTGGATAATCAAGTTTCCACTCTATTTTTATTTCATCCTTTTTGTAATTTGATTAAAATTTTAAAATAAAACATAATTTTATTATTAATATAATTGTGTTTTACTTATAATTATTATCCATTCAGATAATTTTTTATTCTTTAAAACTGATTTTTTTAAATCATTTTATTTTACATGACTGATAAAATACAGGATAATAAAATGCAGGATAATTGATTATCACTATCTTGAAGATTTAACTATGACAGTCTTGACACTAAAAGTTTATTCTATATTTTAGAAAGTATTAGATTTTTAAACATTTACAATGTTTTTAAATAAATAAATATTTCTTTTCAGTTCCTATTGATATTCCACAAGGCCAAGGCAGGAGAGCTGTTGTCGGACAGCGGACTCGGTCAGTTGGCATCATTGACCGAAATTGACGTAGAAAAGGAGGGCGTCGGAGGTGCCAAAAACTTTTTTGAGGCCAAAGTGAGTATCGAACTTTATATTGTATTTTTTGAAAACCTGAACCAAATTGAAATATCTAGAAATAAAATGCCTCAACCCCATTGCAACTTTGTTAAAAATAAAAGTATAGCAACATCAGATTAAAAATGGTTAAAAATTTGTAAAATTTTTGCAAAACATTTGATAAGCACAAAGTTTCTTTAGTGATTGTGGAGAAAGATCATATTGGGGATGTAGGTTCAATAGGTCTGATTCAAACCACTTATGAAAATTAAGATCCAACCCAGAATAGAATAACTATAATATCTACAATTTCTCACAAGATATTGATTAGATAGGAAAAGATAATTGTAATGATTCAATCACGTGGTGTACACGAAACTGAATAAACTTCCTGATATGGCTTCCTATGACAGAATAAGAAGAGAGCCCACTTATTCCAGAATAGGTTGATTAACTACATGACATACATAAATTATTTGAAAAATGAAGCATTGAACTTTAGTAACGATGAATTATTTCTATTATTGACTAACAAAACATACTGTCCATTTTGAAAAATATAAATATCATAAACTAAATTGCAAAAATATATAATTTATCTTTTTTAATGCTATTTGCCACAACAAATTTTCTGACAAGGTAAACCAAAAAATAACAAAATCTATCTTTTTATTTGATTTAAACTTCAAAAAGGATTGGATTGGTAGAATAAAGCAATGTAATGCAAGAACAATTTGCCAAGGAGGGTGTTTCCCAGGATGACTTCCTATGAGAAATGGACCCTTATTTAAGTGTTAGATGTATGAAGGAAACTGAAAATTCCAGGCAATGTTTGGCAATTTTATCCACTCGGATACTGGCGACCCAACTTAACGAGATCATTTTTGATTCCTTATTTATCACTGAGTGTACTATGTCAATTTGAAACGGTGAACATTTTGCAGATTATGTATTATTTCCATTTGCTTTCAACATCTTGTAACATTGAATGGCTGGCAGAAGTTGGAATTAAATTAACTCATCATAAATTGCTAAAGTTTGTTTTGCTGTTTAAATGAAACTTTTTCAAACTCTCAATACTGCACAGTCTTTTAGAATGTTTTTGTTCAGGTTTGAATTTATATTGTATCCAATTCACAATTTGATTGGATAAATTTTAAAATCATAAAAACTATCCAAAATTATTATTGGTTAATTTCATTTATATTAATAATCCTCTTAAAACAAATTTACACTTTTAATGATTCATTCTTTGTAGTCAGTCATTTGCTATGTCTGTATAACTGTTCTTATTTTAGATTATATTTAATTTTTCTTTCTCTATCAGAAGTTAAGTTCCTGCAGTCAGTTCTGACTGTAGGAAAAATTGAACACTCCCATTATTGTTAAGTGTCATTCTATACATCTGCTCTTTTTGCATTATTTATGTAGGTCGTTTGTTATTTTATAATTAATGTAATATGCTCTTGTTTTCTATTGTTGATTGTGTCTGTTTTTAAACTGTTTCCTTGTGTTTAAGATATAAGGTTCTGTTGTACACTATCTTAGAAAAGTTGAAAAAACATTTTCATTTGATGGCTTTGAAAATATTTTTAAAACAACTTAACCATTTTGCATTTTCTTAATAAGACTAGTATTGAGCTCAATGGATATTAGAATTGTATTTAAGTTCCATTAATGTAATGTCTTATCAATTTTTACATTTTAAACTAACAAAAAGCAATATCAAAGGATTGTTTGATATAACCAAATAAAAATAGACCACATTATAGTTTTTGAAAATTATATCAATACTAAGTTGATTTAAATCCAAAATAACAGATATTAGAGAGAGAATTTTTTCATTCAAACTGTTATATGCTCAGAAATGAAACTTTATGGTAAAGAATTTATCAAAGTTAACTTAGCAGTTGCAGTTATAGAAATATGATTTGGTCTCACTCTACACAGACACAAATTTTGATTTTGGGTATAAACTTGGAATTTTTCAAATGTGTTGCAACATTCTGTAAAATATAAATACAGTAATACCCCGAACTTACGCAATAGGTGGGACAGAGTGATAACCGCATAAATCGAATTCGCGTAAGTCGGAGTATAATTTCGCATATAAATACATACAAATAATTTTTAATTGGGGCCGGAGACTAAAGAAAACAATAATTTAGAAAAAAATGTTTAATAAAATCTTAGATAATACATATGTATAACAAATTAGGCCTATATTATTTTACAATTTTTCACATTTACTTGATTATTA